GTACTACGAGCCGGCTAAAAGAGCCTGGAAACTACCATAATCGTTACAAAGGAAGCGTCATCTTACCCACTCTTGTCGGAAAATTCATTACGAAAGCTCGGGCTTGTCCAGTACAACGAGAAATTCCTTGTCCAACAAATTGACGAAAAAAGAGACCTTGCAGAAGTATCGCAAAAAGTGCGCCCCAACGTGAGAGAAATCTTGGAGACACAGCGAAGTATTCAGTCCAAATATCGGGAAAGCTGTAGGCAGACAAGTGACCATAATGACAGATGAGACGGTGACTCCAGTTTTCCAAAAGCCAAGACATGTACCATACAATCTTGCAGCCAAAGCAGAAGAAAAGATCGCATACTTGTTAAATCAGGACATCATAGAGAAAGTACCAGACGACGAAACACGTACCTGGGTCAGCCCAACAGTTATTGCGCCGAAACCAAGTTCGGATCAGATTCGCCTATGTGTAGACATGAGCATAGTGTCCTGTGACGTAAGTAGTAACGACAGGAACACTAAGGACATTAATGATGCTTGTGGGGTATTATGGGCACTGAGTAGTTCTAGTTTGCAAGTTGTTTAGAAAAGCAGAGTGAGAATATATGAACGATATTGTGCGTGTTTTATACACTATAATGAGGATGGCAAACAAGGCTATTCTACGCCCATACACTCAACTACCTACGATGGAAGACGTGATCAACAAGTTTCAGGGTGCGAAGAAGTTCTCTAAATTAGACTTGCGCGAGGCGTATCACCAGTTCGAACTTACCACCGAATCACGCAAAATAACGACCTTCTACGGACCAGACGCAGAGGAGGTTGGACAGCTAATTAGGCGAATCTGGGCGAATCTCTCGACCAATCAGATTGCGCCATTTTCCTCATGCTCGCATGAAGCTTTTGGCATCGAAAATTTACATAGGGCTCATAAATATCGACTTTTTTCATATTGTTATGCACATTTTTTTGGAAATTTCACGCGATACTACTTTTACAACAGTGAATCTATCCATTGGAACGGTATCTTGAAAGGTAAGCGTTATTTTCCAGTTTATTTTGACCTCTCACTTTAGGCACTATGCCGTCGCGATGTAATTTAATGGCGTTTCTGTCAACAATCGTTGAAGACAAAAATCTCAAATTTCCACGGTTCGATTTCGCTATTTTTTTCACGATTAGTTAAACAAAAGTATAATCTTTAACTCTATCCAGCCGGCCCCCCTCGGTCCCGCAACCGTTTTCGAGATATTCACCGTTGAATAAAGCCCTCTGTAAAATATGTTGCCTTGTCACTCAGATCGATAATGAACTGCTATTACTCGCTTTTTTCTAAAGAAGTGTGATATATTATAGAAATTTCGATATATTATGGATTGTATATATTGCAGTAAAAGTGTGTAAATAATTAAAGCCCTTCCGTAACAATATTTTATAAGTGAAATTTATTGTTTGGCTGATGTTTTGGATTTGAGATTCGTGATTATGGCTGGATTCTATTTTTGTCAATGAGTTTGTCTGCAAGAATTAAGCATCATCATTAAATTTGGAGGTAAAATCGGTCCTTCCAATCTGTACAGACCTTCTACATCTGCAAGATCTCCGATGCTATGATTGTCTCTCCATCAAGTGACCAAAACCTTGTTAACCTTTCTGGTTATGTTATTGGTATGATGACGTCTGGATTTTCAAAACTAACCCAGCGACAACCAGAATAACTACTCATCCACCTGTTTCAAAAATGGCTGGTAAAAGTTAACACTGGTTTAGATGCTAAATTTGTCCCTCAAAATTTTCTCCCACTTGTTGCCAAGGCTATGTACTTCATGCTGGTCAAAAAGACAATCTGATTTATCACGCTGCTCGATGCTTTGGAGAAAAACGCCATGGAGATGTTGGTCTGCTGCCATTGGATAGAATGCCCTTTATAGCAGTGAAGGCCCACTTGGCCTTTTTTTAACAGTATTTTGTAATGATGTTACACAACTAATTCAGATAAAGTTTGAGAAATGGTGGTTCTTTCAATGTTAAGCCCCAGACAGGGGGGCGGGCATATGTGGGGCATTTGATTTTCTGAGCAAATTTTCAATCAAATGCCCCACTGTTAGGTAATAAATATTGGTCAAACACCCCACCATTTTGCAATAAATTGCAATAAATACTATATTAATAAAAGTCATTTTGGTTCAAATTGCCCTAACTCGGGCCCAAAATGCTAATCAAAATCCCCAGAATGGGGATGCAATTGATGATCAAATACCCCACATATGCCCACCCCCTTCTGGGGCTTGACATTGATAGGTGCAATTATATGCAGGGTTTTTTTGTATTCTCATGTAATGTATCACAAAGTTAATAGCAGCATGTTATTGTGGGACCTTTGATCAATATGTATATAAATAGACATATTTTTGTTTTATTGTTGCATTAATTTTAATGGAAAATAAAAATTACTCACAAATTTGGTCAAGTGAATGTACAAACTATTTATTTCTTCATTTAGTACAGCACATGTTACAATTATGTACTTGTCTTAATTGCATGAGTGTGCATGACAAACATTGTTTTATTTTAATTGTGCACACCCACTTATGATTAACCTAGTTTTTGTTTATGAAAATCTAAAAAGTTAGCTAATTGAAATAACATCATTTCTATAACTTGCTAAACCTATTCAGTTACAATTATGTCACAAACATCTGTCAACGTACACTCGTGCTCTTCCTTACCACTTGAGTCTCCCACTCACCACGTCGCTTTATGAAAATTTTTTGATAAAATCCTATTTTAAAAAGTCAACCCTATACTTGATATGCTGAACATAGACGTCTGAGATATCTCCTGTGGCAATTAGTGGGAGCAAATACTCGCATAGTTGAGCAGCAATATAACCAATATGTGTCCATCCAGTTCCATAGTCTACATCAATTGCAATTGCACTTGGGTCCATTGGATTCAATGACTCTAGTCATATTCTTACATTCACGTACTGGTTTATCTTATCCATGAAGAGCAAGGTATGCCTGTTCCAAATGATGTTGGTAATTCTTCTCATGAGCAAGATCGACAGCTGATGGTTTCCGCCAGGTGGTATTCAAATCACGAAGCCTTAGTCCACCCGAATCCAACTATTCAACTACCGAGAGAGAGGCGCTAGCAATCCGATGGGGGATCAAAAAGCTGAGAAAATACCTCTTGGGAGCACAACAATTCAAAGTGACTACAGATTACAAACCACTGCAAGCGATGTTCAACAAAACCGCAGGTGATTTACCGCCACGCATCGAGAAGTTTATTATGTACGTCCGGGAATACGAGTACGTTGCGGAATATCACCCCGGGAAGACCAACATAGCCGATTACTTATCAAGCCACACACGAACATATGCTATTTCAAGCAGCTTCCAGGCAGCCGACGAATTTGCCCGGACCGTGGTTCAAGCGGAAAGAGTCACGTTAATCAACAGCCACGCGGCAGTCACCATACAGGAGATAAGAGAGGAAACACGTAAGAATACAACTCTCACGAAACTCATACACACCATACAAACGGGTCTGAATGAAGCAGATGAAAAATTTTTGCCATATATGGCAGAAGTTAAACACGACCTGCATATCATAGACGGAGTAATTTATCGCGGGAAACGATTGATCGTACCTGAAACCCTACAGCGCCGAGTTATCGCATTAGGGCACGAGGGTCATCAGGGAATTAGCAAAACAAAATCTTTCATCCGGCAATCCTGCTGGTTTCCCGGCCTTGATGCCAAAGTGGAACGCCAAATCAAAGAGTGCCTTGCGTGCCGAGCAACGCAACCAAGTCGATACCACGAGCCTATTAAAGTATCGGAATTACCGAAGGGACCTTGGTAATTCGTCGAAATGGATTTTCAAGGGCCATACCCCAATGGGGAATACATATTCGTGATGATCGACATATACAGTCACTGGCCTGAAATAGAATTCTTCAGCAATCACCAACGGCAACATCTACCATCAACGTGATGCAAAGCATATTCGCTAATAAAGGCATACCGACCGTATGTCAGTCAGATAATGGTCAGCCGTTTCAAACAGCAGAGATTAAATCATTTGCCTCGAAACAAGGATTCGTTCTAAAACATATAACACCGGAGTGGCTACGAGCAAACGGAACTGTAGAACGATTCCACAGATGCATGAAAGAAGCCATACAGGCCGGCCACGTCGAAGGGAAACGAGATGCGAGACGCAGCCACGACCTTCCTTCAATCATACCGAGCGAGTCCACATACGACAACAGAGAAGAGCCCATTTGCAGCTATGCACGGGGGACGAGAGATGCGAACAAAATTACCAATGGAGACGTACTGTGATGACATCGTCGACCGAGAACAAGTGGTAAACACTAACGCTAAAATGGTTTCCAGAGACACGTGTGCCAAGGAACACCGTTTAAAAGTCGGAGATCAAGTTGTGGTGATGCAGAAAAGGAAAAATAAACTAACAACTGTGTTTAACCCAACACCGCTAACAGTTACAAACATAAAAGGATCAATAATAACGGCAAACAAAAATGAATGGTCAATAACAAGGGATGCTTCAAAGTTTCGTAAGTTATTTGGGGTACAACCCCAAAGCAGTAAAAAGGACGGCAAGGAGATATACGAGGCAGAAAATGACACAAACGAGCAATCGGACCAAGAGGAACACGAGGAAGACGAAGAGTATAATGAAGGTGATATCGAGCAAAATAACGAAGGAGCAAACGATGGTAATGTAGAACCACCAATAGCAAGGCCGGAACGCGAAAGACAGCCACCAGCTTGGCTCAGAGACTATAAAACATAAAGAACTCAGAGAGTTGGACAGTCATGAAACAAATATGATTATTTATTGATATTAGGTTTGTTACTATTTAATATAGGACATATAGTAAACGGAACATATTAAGTACTTTAAAGTATGGGAGGGATGTGGTATTCACGTGATCATCACACTCTGTTAACGATGGTATTGAGTGGAATATAAAGAATGTAATATATAGAATGCGTAATATACAGAATATGGTCTTATGTACGTAATGTAAACACATGAACAAAACTACAAGACTCTGTCTTTATATCAATGTTGGTCTTTAAAAGGTCACGACGCTTCCGTCTGTATTGTTGTCCATCTCATGTTGTGACAATATACGATCTTGGGGCAGCGGCCAGTCCAGATACGGTGGCTGGTACCCAGATTCTGTCCTGGTGTAGGTGGATGTTTTCTCCAATTTCATGTGGTGGTAATGTTTTGGTTGATTTGTCGTAGTTCTGCTTCTGCAGCTTCTGTCGTTGTTCCATCCTCGTTCCCAGGGCTTCTCGGCTGCCTGCGTTGCCGTAAGCCCTGGGACAAGCCGAAGCAGAAGTGATTTGATTGGTCGTTGGAAATAGAGTGAAGTATGAAAAGTTTATTCATCAAGTGGATGTTTATATTCGACAATATGGCTGCCTTCAAGGAGTGCGCGTTCGAAATACGAAGAAATACAAACGTATACTGCTTGTTTTCTATGGATTAATGGAGATCATTTGCAGACACAAAGAAAGAAAATAACAAAATGGACAATTATAAAGTAGAAGTAAGCAACAATATCGAAGAAACGTCAATTATGAAGCCATTAAAAAGTTTCTTCATTTTAACATTTTCTTGTTATAAAGTTGCCTGTTATTAAAACATTGTGGTCAAGTATAATTGTAAAATTTTAAGCACACTGTAAATGTAAAATGTTTAATAATATATATTTACGATAGTAAAGTTTTAATGGTGTAATATATTGTGTTTTATTAATTACAATGCTTTTGGTATTGGTCACTTGGCCTATTACCCGCCTATATTAAAATGGCCCTATATTAAAATGGCCAATTGGAAATTTTAAATATAGCATATAGAATATTATAGGTGTATTTTACTATTTCTGAATTTTCTCAGTTGTATTATTAGTGAGTAATTTTAATAGCTTTTAATTAAATACAGTGTTTAAGCTTATAAGCATATTCAATTGCACCAGTCATTTGAATCCCTGCACCTTTGGCATACCAGAGGGGAATGCAAGGACAATTGCCTCTTATTCACTGGTTTATCATTTCTTGGCAAACAGGGAAGACACTTACTTTCAGTGTCCAAGTCGAGGAATGAATGAGGTCATGGGGGAGGGGGTCACTTAGTCTTTTATATAAATGTTGAAATAAAGCAGTCGGCTATATAAATGCTGAAATAAAGCAGTCGGCTAGGAAAGGTTTAGTCTTTTATATAAATGCTGAAATAAAGCAGTCGGCTAGGAAAGGCTTTTACAGAACAGTAAAGGAATGGTTTGGGAAATTTCAAATAAAAATTCCAAATATGAATTTCAAATATGAATACCTGGGTATGATAGGACCGAAGAAATTTACCTTGCCATTTTGTCCTGGCTGCAGGGGACTTCACTGAATTTCACACACCAAATTAAGTGAATGCCCCTGGTATGCCCGAGGTGGGGGTCTCGAATTCTTGTGTCATATTGGAAGAGATCATGAATTTACACTGTTTCCTGTCAACAGTTCAGAATAGAATGCTTATTCTGTTGACTTATTGCAAATCTTGTAAGAATTGAAATTATATAATAAACTATTATTATTGACAAAACTGAAAATTTGTATATGTATATGCAGGCTTCTAGCCAGGAGACACCCTACCATGTCTGTATAAAAATTGATTTTAAACAAACCATTACAAAAATGACATAAAAGTTGCTTTGTATTCTGAAATTCTGGTTTAAGTCTCCTGCTATAGATATATTGAACTGGAAAACTTTTCATATTTTTAATGTGGAAATGTGTAGTAATATATTGATAGATCAGAATTTTAACCCCACCTCCCTTACCATCACTTGGGTATACATATTGGGGGGGGGGGCAATTAACTCCCTGATGTGAAATTGTAAGAAATTTAAGGAGTCAAATTTGCTAACACTACCCTCCAATCATTGGCTATCCCATTTGGCCTCAAATGATTTGGCCCCTATCTGAAACAGAATGTGCACTTCCATGTAAAAAATATATTGGAATGCAGAAAATATTGTTATACTTTAATCTGAACACAAAAATTTCCCTGAAACAATTAACATACATTGGGCCATACAGTCATGTGTGGTTTTGACTGTCGAATGTATAAAGCAGCATAGTGAGTTGCATTCATGGCCAAAGGACATATTAGGTTAATTATTTTACACAATTGTTTTTCGTCATTTGCCACGCATGTAATCGGTGAAGGATTCAGGATTATCCGACATGGAAATAACGTTTTAAATGTGCTATATAAAACGGTGTTCAGTATGGTTAGACATGCGGACACGCAAGTCAAGTGGAAAACGCGGACATGCGGACAACGCGGACATGCGGACACGCAAGTCAAGTGGAAAACGCGGACATGCGGACACGAAATTTATTAAACTTCAAAAATCTATTACGACAATAATTAATAATTTTTCGCGTGATATTGAAAGTTATCAATGCCAAGGTTGTGTTTTTCTCTCTCTTTTCTCTGTCTTAGTTTGTAAGCTCGTTTAGTGTATTTCAAGTCAAGTGGAAAACGCGGACATGCGGACACGCAAGTCAAGTGGAAAACGCGGACATGCGGACACGAAATTTATTAAACTTCAAAAAATCTATTACGACAATAATTAATAATTTTTCGCGTGATATTGAAAGTTATCAATGCCAAGGTTGTGTTTTTCTCTCTCTTTTCTCTGTCTTAGTTTGTAAGCTCGTTTAGTGTATTTCGCTTCTTTTTTTAGTTACAAAAACAAATCTCGCCATGGGCCATGGCTTTATATGTTCTGCATGTAAAGAAGCTCGTTTTCTGCTGGCAGAATTGATGTCATATTTACATTCAGAAAGCTATATCTGCAGGTGTGATGTCATAATTACACAATCAAAACGGAGATTGTATAGGAAATAATGACTGAAGATTGATAATGGATTGTTGCGCGAACTTTTACTGTTTTCATGTATTTTACTTACAGTATTGAAGATTCTGAAAAATACACTCAGAATCTTTACAAAATACAAAACAACGGCAATTCAGAAAACGTTTTCATATATTCAAGTTTCAACTACATATGTTTTAATTGTCATCACGAATGATACTAGGTTATATTTTATAAGTGAGGAATCACAGAGTAATTTGATATACATACACATACGTATATATTATCAGGTCTTTTGATGCTTTACTTCCCTGCTTCAAGGTTAAGTTCTCAGTGCAAAATTGTAGCTGATCATGACTAACTTGTGATTGCTGATCAACACCTGGGGTACAGTTGATCGCACGCGCAGGTATAGTTTTGCAACTATTTATTCGTCGGGATCATTATTATGATACAGGGTGTATAAAAAAAACGCAACCTCGGAATTTCCTAAGAAATCACTTTGCAATTCTTACTGAAGCATAAACGATTTTAAGTCCCTGGGAATTGAAATCGAATTGCTAATAGATCATATTAGTTTACTGTTGTTGTGCATCAAATAAATGCATAAATTCTGCTTTATGCACTCGCGTGCACACGCATTTTGACTGTTGTGTTATTTTAAATTCCAAGGCGCCTAAAATATTTTGTATTTAAAACCATGTCGATTTCTTGGGAAGTTCCGAGGTTGCGTTTTTTTTATACACCCTGTATAGAATGCCCGTTCATTTTGACACTTCACACCTCCTTTAATCCTTTTTAATCCTTCCTCACAATAGGTGATTAATTAATGAGCTTGGCTAAAGGTCGTTGGTCAAAATATGCCGAAGGTCAAGAAATATATCTATATCAAAACGAATTTTTTGTCACTTGAAGCGAGGGATATTGGAGAGCGACAAAACTTAAATACTTATTATAACTTGAGTTATATTTATAGCACCGAAAGTTAACTCATTTGTTTAATTAAGTGCATTCAACTTAGGCTAGGCTTGGGTAAATTATGCCGGCATAATTTCGAGCATAATAGGGCTTCAGAAGCATAATAGACACTTAAGCCCCGTTTACACGAGCAATTTTGATGTGACAATTTTGATATGACAATTTTTATTTGCTCGTGTAGACGAGGAAAATTGGGCAATTTTTGTGTGGCAATTGGCAAATACAGTTGCTGAAAAGCTAGCGTGTTAGCTTTTATATGACAAATAAAAGTTGTCACATACGAAAAATTGCTCGTGTAGATTACTTGTCACATAAAATGTCATATTTTTTCTCCCGCCATATTTGTAAAAGTATAATTAGTGTCATGCCATGTTTTATTGCGCTGTTCATAGATATTTTTTAAACAGGAACTGATCAAGTGCATCAACAATTATTTAATTGTTGTCTCATCTACACGACCAAATACATTTCTCACATAAAGATATGAAAAATTGTCACATACAAATTGGCCGTGTAAACGGGGCTTACGAGGATAGTCGGCATAATTAGCCGTTTTCGAGCAATTCAAAAATAATAAAATAATGCTTTGGCTTTAGGGCTAGAGTCTAAAGAAATAAAAAAATAAATGAGACTATAGCACAGGCCAGGATCCTGGGCACTAGTAAAACAATGAGTTTTGTCACGAGAGTTAAAACAATGAATTAGTTCTGAAATGCCTTGACTGTATTGAGAGGTTAATTTTGCACGGAGAACTTAACCTTGAAGCAGGGAACTGAAAGCATCAAAAGACCTGATAATATATAGGTATGTGTATGTATATAAAATTACTCTGTGATTCCTCACTTATAAAATATAACCTAGTATCATTCGTGATGACAATTAAAACATAGGTAGTTGAAACTTGAATATATGAAAACGTTTTCTGAATTGCCGTTGTTTTGTATTTTGTAAAGATTCTGAGTGTATTTTTCAGAATCTTCAATACTGTAAGTAAAATACATGAAAACAGTAAAAGTTCGCGCAACAATCCATTATCAATCTTCAGTCATTATTTCCTATACAATCTCCGTTTTGATTGTGTAATTATGACATCACACCTGCAGATATAGCTTTCTGAATGTAAATATGACATCAATTCTGCCAGCAGAAAACGAGCTTCTTTACATGCAGAACATATAAAGCCATGGCCCATGGCGAGATTTGTTTTTGTAACTAAAAAAAGAAGCGAAATACACTAAACGAGCTTACAAACTAAGACAGAGAAAAGAGAGAGAAAAACACAACCTTGGCATTGATAACTTTCAATATCAGGCGAAAAATTATTAATTATTGTCGTAATAGATTTTTTGAAGTTTAATAAATTTCCACTTGACTTGCGTGTCCGCATGTCCGCGTGTCCGCGTTTTCCACTTGACTTGCGTGTCCGCGTTTTCCACTTGACTTGCGTGTCCGCATGTCCGCGTGTCCGCGTTTTCCACTTGACTTGCGTGTCCGCGTTTTCCACTTGACTTGCGTGTCCGCATGTCCGCGTGTCCGCGTTTTCCACCTAACCGTTCAATATTCATACTACATGATGGGCATATGGCCAAACAAACACCTTGTGCTTTTTTGCTCAAATTTACGCACGCATGATTTTGAGCAAAAAAGCACAAGGTGTTTGTTTGGCCATATGAAATCCAAAACTCATGGGGTCATGCATGACATCTATCTATAATGTATATTTTCTTGAAATGTTAGGTGATTCATTGTTATTGCCGTTGTTGTAACCCAGTAAACAGACACACACCGCCGTTTAGACATGTCACATGTGGTTCTTGTTCCTTTTATATACATACGATAGACGATAAAGCTTCGAATTACTTCTCTTTAATTTCCAGTCCGGCTTTGTCCAGTCTTTTCATGTGACTTTACAAGCGCGTGTTGAAACAGGTCATCTGTACAAGAACCCATGATGTTTCGAATCACAGCGGCCACTTCGAGCACATTTCGACTCGATCATGTTTACATCATACATGAAAATTGATACATGTAATACGAGACCGAAATATGGTTGTATTTTGACGAATATTAACGATATAACGAAATATAAACCCCCAATATGTATAATTCCATTAGGTGGTCTGTATATATTCCCTTGATGGTGGAAAATACATCGAAACAAAAGAAAAATCCAATATTTTCTGCTCACCAACACGTCTCCACTCCTCAGTAAGAATTAGTGCATAGTCAGCATTTTAGCTTTCAGCAGAGCGCGTTTACTTCCGGAAAACACCAGAATTTGTGGTGTTCCGGTTTGGCTTATCCCAGGGCTAACGTAGAGCTGGATGCAGAAGAGGCTGCAGAATTTTTCATTATTTGTGAGCACGACCCCTTCACTTTTGATAAGTTGTTAAACAATGTTCTTGACTTTGTTGGATATGATCGCATTATTGCATATCTCTAACTTGGGAAAAGCCGGTCTATAAATTGATATCACAGACGTCAACAAGCATGTCGTATATGTAACAGAGCAGCTCAGCTCTAGGGCTGTAATATTTCTTCTTATAAATCTATCTCAATTTATCTACCTACAATTATCCATATATATCTACTTATCTGAATAACTTGTAAGCTGCAAACGTGGGTATAGGTGTATCACGTGGGTATAGGTGTATCATAGGTGTATTTATTGTAAACTTAAACTTATTGCATATTACCAAATGAACCGACATTCAAAATTAAATATCCGAATTACACGGTATCCATGGCATACTTAATTAAAAGCGTGCGATGCAAATTGCGATGTTATTTAGTTTTGAGATATATGCCTGGTGCATATGTTGCTGTTTGAAGTTATCCAGAAATTCAATTCATATCCATTATAGACAATATGTAATTTTAAAACAACAATGTTTATATGAATAAAGTGAATTTGAGTTACTCCGCTTTATCGTGTCGTATCCTTCTGTAACCTGTCCTGTTCTGCACTTGGAGATTATAAAACAATAGAGAGGGCATTGCAGCAAAAGTTCAGGCAAACAAAGGAACCTGAATTAAAGCTTGCAAATGCGGGCTAATTTGAGTTATACCCGGATGTGAAACCAAGAAAATGTATTTTTTCACCTTTTTCTTACAATACAAGTATTCAATCCTGGTTTTATCAACAGTCCTAACTGTTTTACCATTATTTTGAGGCGAAAAATTCAGGAATTTTCGCCTTTGAGTAGTAGACCTCCTTCCCTAAGTTTATCAAGCCGCCTCTATATACGCTCCTGAAGCACACCATTTTTCTTGCCTTTCAGATATCGTTATGAAAAGTGTTTTTAGCCGCCGACTTCAAGGGGCCTATTAAAACATTGCAGAAGAAAATAGCACATATCAGAAAGTAAAGCTTGTAATTATTAATATTTATTCGCTTTCAAATGTCGTACACTACAAAATTTCATGGTATCTTAATATTTATTCATTTAAAATCTAGATCATCATGTTGACTATGTTATATTAATTTAACTCAAGAGACCTGGAGCGCTCAAGAAATAAAGACCAGCCATGGCACTCATGTCCAGCGACTTAAAACGGATTTCCGTTGCCACGGCCATGATCTGAGATCGGACTAAGTTTTACAAAAAACACTCCAGGTATTTTGGATTCAAAAGTATGACCTTCTGAGTCAAATTAACTATCACAAATAATTACAGTCAATGGATAAATCAGTATGTTAATGATAATTAATCAATCAATAAATTAATTTACAAATGCCCTAAAACTACATGATCAAAAGTTCTGGTCCAAAGTAAAACACATGCATTTTTACTGTCATGTTTATTCAAAGCTAAATCTATATTCTTTCACAAGTCATGTGGCAGATTCATTATTTTCTATTTTTCACTGTCATAGACAGTGAATAGAAGGAGATACAAGTCTTATCCTGGAAGAACAATCGTCCATCTATGAGGCTGACAATCTATGAAAATGTCTCGTTTGTTCAGCTTGGTACAAGAACTGTCTAATCAGTTTCCTTGTGGTCTCTGTTTCTTCTTGCGGCAAAATTTCCAAAATGTGAGCAACCTTTTGTCTAATATTCCATATATGAGAGGATTTACTGAATGCACACCAACAACTAACAGAACATTTCCCAAACGCGCAATCCAAGCGTTTTCCATGAGGAAATGACTTTCTTTAGCGATGCACAAAATATACCACACTGACATAGGAATATGTCCAGTTACAAAACATAGGACGGTAATGAGACAAACCAAAAAAGTTCGTCGATTTCGGATAAATTTGAGGATTTTGAAAGACGAGCTAGGCGCACTTCGTCTCACTGGATTTGAACATACGCGTTTCATGTATTTGTTTTGTTTCATCAGTGCTTGACCTATTTTATAATAAACTACAGCCATAAATATTGTTGTCACGATAAGGAAGAATGTTGTGCACGCATGACGAAAATAACGAAATTTGAAATAGGAGTCGTTCTGCAAAAAGCATTGCGGCAGAAACACTCCATAACCTGCAATCAAGGAACCAAGATACACCAAACCACAAACGACTTTCAATTTCTGTCGACTGATGGCAGGTTTTAAGGGATGTACAGTAGCACGATAACGAAGCAATGAAATGATCAACATCATACCTGGTCCTGCGGCTTGAAAGAAATAACTTATACAAATGAAAGCACAATACTTGGTGGAATAAACGAGGTGATCTTCGACCAAATACCAGTTGACATGATGGAAAACGAAAATGATCAGTGCCCCCAGATCACATATTGCAAGATGTACAACAAGAAAGTAGTAGTTATTCTTCAACACTTTCTTTTGTCTTAGTATGGAGACGACAACCAAAATATTACCGACAATCCCAAATACAATTACTACAGCGTGAGATGATCTGTAGGTCTCGATATCATACGCTGTCTTTCCCATTCTTTTGTTCAAGATATTTAAGTTGCGACTTTCGTTACTGAAATACAATTCGAGAAGCCGGTAGCTTGTCTATGCAATTCCTGCGAAAAACAGAACAAATGGCCAGTAAAAAAAAAGTTTAGATGCGCCATATAAGGTATTAACAGACGTATTCCGCCAATAAGAACCCTACACATGACGACATTGTTTCCATGGTGCATAACACCGCTCAAGGGTTAGCAAATAGTAGCAAAATTGGTAAAAGATAAGAGTTTCAGAGCGTTTAGAATGGATGAAAGGAAAAGGACTTGGCATTTTAAGATTTAAAGTTATTTTTTTAAATCTGTTTTATAACCTTATACATAAACTTTTGTATAATTCCTTCTGATTGGTGAAGGAATTAAACATGTTATTGTACTCAAACGACATTAGTTTGTTTTTGTCAATACAAACACTCCTAATTTAATTAGGAGGTGACCGGCGTAGGCTTCTATTCCGAAATTAATGAATATTAACAACGTGTATGCTTTAAACGAAACCGAGGTGCATGTAGCACGATCCTAACCGTTAAAAACTTTCTACCATACGATTCACTGTAATTCTATATTGAACTATTAAAAGATCGGTCGAGTCTAATGAGAACGAATCATTTACCTTGCTGCAAAGATAGTTTGGCATTGCGAAATGGTTTAGAGAAAACCCTTAGAACGAGCCTGGGAACGAGGTTAGCACAGCTCACCCCTATAATGGCTACGGAACTTTTCTTTATTTGTCAGCAATACCCTCGAGTTTTGACAAGTTATTAACTCGCTCTTCAATTTGTTGGACATGAATAATTTCTAAGCTGTAAACTAGGCAGGTGTATCACGTTTCAGTATTCTAAATTTAACTTATTGGAAATTGCTAGATGAACTGACATGCAAAAATAAAAATTATACGATATTTATGTATATTTAATGGCGATTATAGACATAGGCACGGAGGCTAGGTGTGCAATGCGAACGGTCATATATTTAGTTTTGAGATGCCTTGTACATGTTTTATTGTTGAACTAATCCAGGAACTTAATTCGTATTCAGTATAGATCATATCATTTTGCGAAGTGGCTGGAGGTCAGGAAATTCCCGAGGAACAGTTAAAAGATATTTTCAAAATATAATAGGATTTGTATGGTTATCAATAAAGAAGTTTCTTAAACTTTCTTTACACTCAGACATTTCTAAGTGATACATGAAGTCACATTGTGGAATGCTACCCACTTATTGTCGGGCATGAGGTGCCCCCCCCCCCCACGATATGATATAGGAGGAACGCGAGCGCTTGAAAGGTATACAAGGAAAAGGGTTGGTTTATTTGAGATAACCTGTCATTACCAATTTCAAACTAGTTTGAAACGTTGCAAAAGGAAATGGAACACATCAAAAATTAAAAAGTAAACTTATATATATTTACTTGACATGAAATGTGAAACACAACAAATAATATGAATACAATTTAAGAGCTATATCATCGTGTTGAATATGTTATATTAAATATTCTTAAGCAATGCAGGAACAAATGAACAATTTAACTCAAAACGACGTGACCGATCATGAAATGAAGTTCAGTCCTGATACTCACACTCAAGGCCTCGGATTATGTTGTCAGTCTTGTACCTAGTCCTTTGCGCGCGCGTTCTATCTTCTGAGAACGCGTACTAAGAGGACTAGGGACTAGGCTCTATCGATCTGAGATCAACTAAAAATGCACAAATTCCAAATTTTAATTTGTTAAAGACTAAGATTTTTATGCAACAATTTTAGTTCGCCATGACATTTCGATTTTGGAATTAAGTTCGGATTTAGCAATTTCTTTATCGGAAAGAAGCACTCCAGGTATTTTTGAGTTCAATGGTATGACTTCTATTCATGAAATAAATTACCTGAAATAATTACCAACAAAATCAACAGATAAATTGACGTGTCGTCAATGGATAAAAAATCGATCAATAAATCGATCCAAAAACACTCCAAACCACTATGAATGAAGTTCTGGTCAAAAATGTAATACACGCAGTTTTACTGTCACATTTGTTCAAAGCTAATTCTAAATTTCTTCAAAAGTCATGTCGTGACCCATTCACTATTTCCTATTTTTGAACGAAGAAGATACAACTCTCATCGTGGAAGACTAATCGTCCATCTACGACGCGAACAATCTATAAATATGTCTCGTTTATCCATCTCTTGCTACAAGAACTATTTAATTTCCCTGTGTCTCTGTTTCTGGCGGCAAAGTTTCCAATAAGCGAGCAATTTTTTGTCCAATATTCCATATATCATAGGGTTTGCAGAAATCGAAACAGCAACTCTCAGAACATCTGCCAAATAGATAAACGAAATACTTTTCGTTACTATATGATATTCCTCAGCAATTACCAAAATTAAGGACATAAACAGAGGAATATTCCCAGCTCCTTAATTGACATAGAACGGTAATGAGACAGACAAGGAAAATTCGCTGATTTTGGATAAATTTCAGGATATTGAAGGAAGGGGCTAGGCGCACTTGGATTTGAACATACGCTTTTCATGTGTTTGTTTTGTTTGATCAATGCTCGACCTATTTTATAATAAGGTACAGCCATAAATACTGTTGGCGCGTCAAGAAAGAATTTTGTGCATGCATTACAAAATTTCCAAGAGGAATCGTCCTGCAAAAGCATTCCGGCAGAAACACTCCATAACCTGGCCTGTAATCAAGGAACCAAGGTACCCAAAACCACAAACAGCTTTCAATTTCCGTCGACTGATGGCAGTTTTTAAGGCCGGATGTTCAGTAGCACGATAACCAAGCACTGAAATGATCAACATCACACCTGTTCCTGTGACTTGAAAGACGTACTACGTTTTAGTGAAGAAAAAGCAATACATGAAGGAAAGATTATGAAGAGATTACTTAAGACCAACTATACCAATAATTAGCAATACCATCCAAAAGGTAAATGGTCAGTGCTCCCAGATCACACATTGCAAGATGTAGAACAAGAAAGTAGTAGTTATTCTTCAACAAAATCTTTTGTCTTAGTACGGAAATGATTACCAAAATATTACCGAGCATTCCAAATGCTAGAACTGAAGCGAAAGAGTACCTGTAGATTTTATATGCTGCCTTCCCCATTGTTTCGTTCAATTAAGTAATTTGAGTTGTGACTTTCGTTGCTGAAAGACAGCTGAAGATCAAACTGGCAGCTTGCTTGGAAAATAGGACAAATGACAGATGGGAACATCTTACACACGATATATAAGACAACATACACCAGCTGTATATAATTAACCAATTAACCTTTATGGTACTCGACAATTGTCAGAGATATTTATAGATAATATATTGTATTAGCTATTAAGATGCCAGAACGAAACACTTCTGCTGGGAATTACTCCAGAGTTTTGCCTATATGTGGCATTCAATACACTTTTCCCTAAAGGTGCCGGAATAGCTTTTAAATTCCCCAAATGAAAAACAAATTTGCATTTTTTTAAATAATCGCGCTGATCGGCCAATTAATAATAATCCATCCTGACTCCCGGATAGAATCGACACACAAATTATAATAACATAATTAATAAAAAAGGACCTAACGAGAGAGGTAGAGAAGACTCTAAAAATGCCATTACCGACAATCTAGAAACTCGAAACTTTCGAAGCCTTTTGAAACGTTGCAGAAGAAAATGGCACATATCAAGAAGTAAATTAAATAACTATTACTGTAATAAATTTACTTGCTTTCAAATGTCGTACACTACAAAATTTTATGCTATTTTAATATTTATACATTTAAGGTCATCATGTTGATTATGTTATATCAATTTAACTCAAAAGGACGTGGAGCCCTCAAGAAATAAAGACCAGCCCTGGCACTCATATCCAGGCCCCTAAAACGGAATTCCGTTGCCACGGTCATGATCTGAGATCGACCAAAAACTCACAAACTTTATTTAGGACTAAGCTTTTTAATATGACAATTGACAAATTTAGTAAGCTTAGCTATTTGAATCCTGAAATTAAGTTTGGACCTATCATGTTTCTATAAAAGAAGCACTCCATGTATTTTGGGTTCATAGGTATGACCTTCTAAGTCAAATTAACTATCACAAATATTTGCAGTCAATGGATAAATTAATGTGTTATTGCATATTCAATCAATCAATAAATCAATCTGCAAATGCCCTAAAACTCCATGATCAAAAGTTCTGATCCACAGTAAAACGCACGCATTTTACTGTCATGTTTATTCAAAGCTAAATCTATATTCCTTCACAAGTCATGTGGCGGATTAATTATTTTCTATTTTTCACTGTCGTAGACAGAGAATTTAAGGAGATACAAGTCTCATCTTGGAAGAACAACTGTCTACCTATGAGGCTGACAATCTAGGAAGATGTCTTGTTTGTTCAGCTCCTACAAGAACTGTCTAATCAGTTTCCTTGTAGTCTCCGTTACTTCTTGCGGCAAAGTTTCCAAAATGTGAGCAATTTTTTGTCCAATTTTCCATATATGAGAGGATTTACTGAAAACGAACCAGCAACTCTCAGAACCCTTGCCAAATACGCAATCCAAACGTATTTCATTAGGAAATGATTTTCTCCAGCGATGTTTATTAAAATAAGGTACACAGTAATGCGAATATTTCCAATTGCATAGCATAGGACGGTAATGAGACAGACAAGGAAAGCTCGTCGATTTCGGATACATTTCAGGATACTAAAGGAAGAGCCAGGCGCACTTCGTTTCACTGGATTTGAACGTACGTTTTTCATGTATCTGTTTTGTTTGGCGAGTGCCTGACCTATTTTATAATAAACCACAACCATAAATAATATTGGAAAAAAGTAAAAGCATGATATGACGTAACCACGCAAAACTTTATTATAAACAATTGCGTCATCCGATGTCCGCTGCATGAAACACAAAGGCAGACCCGTTCCATAACCTGCAATGAAACTAACAATGTACACCAAGACACAAACGACTTTCAATTT